GACGAAATGCGTTGCCTTTGCTGCTCATCCAAAGCTGGTGTGATAAATGGCGCTGTGCGGGAAGCCTTTGTAGTTTTAGCGCCATTTAAAGCAGTGGGCGCCGGTTCCAGCAAACTCTTATAGAACTTGGTAACTACCTTTAAGCCAAAGCCATCAATGAGGAATATATCACTTAGCTCGCGTAGGGACCCGTTGCGTGCCTTCCAGTTGTGCAGTTTGTTAACACGCGCTTTTGTTATATCATACCTACAAAGAAACACAGTAACTAAAATAGTTTTTTACTTTTCTAAATACAAACCTTTCTAGCTGTTCAGCACCTTGTTCGTTTATTGCATTTAGAATAAGCTTGCTCTGTTCCTCTGTATAAGGCGGCAACTCCACCAGCTGCTCTGCATCTTCAATCATAGGTTCTAAAGGTGGCTGTTTTCCCAACTGTCTAACAAAATTTGCACTTATCGCACACAGCCTACGTTTTATGTTAAAAGCAAGCATTATTTAATTCAAAAGTATATAAAAAACGTAATCCGAATCTGTAATTATGCAAAGCGAACAAGTTGATTGTTAATAATGTTAGCAGTGTGACCAGCCAAAAAAATGGTGGAAAATACAATCAGCTGATCGCAACTGGTGCAGCCAAACAGCTGTTGGCAGCATCCGAATTTTAGGAAACTTAAATAGTAAACACGCAGTTTTGACTAGGTGTGTTACATACTTTAAAATTAGACATTAAATTCACAATGCAGTTTTCCTGGATGAAGCTGGCTATTTATTTGCTAACATTTTTAACCTACGCCTATTCCGGATATGGATCGAGCACAATTGTGCATCTAAGAGATGCAATTATAGCGGCTGAGGCACTTTTCGGCGACGTCTTCAAGAATTTCATCACAATTGTGCGCAAATTTCGTACCGTACATGAGGTATTCGATGCTGCCGTCGAGGAAAACTGTGTATTTCAGTGCCCAGTGCCCGAAGGCGGCGGAACGCGTAAGTACTTGACGCACACATAGATATTATTATGTAAATGAGATAGCCTTATACTGACGTGTTGTTTGTCTTTCAGCACCGCGCGCAGTGCAAAATAAGTTCTATGTGCCCACCGCTGATGGCTGCGGTTCTTTGGGTCTGAGAATTAGTACGGAATACCTACCCGCCGTCGAAATGGAAGCTTGCTGCAATGCGCACGATATTTGCTACGATACTTGCAATAGCGATAAGGAGCTGTGCGACTTGGATTTCAAGCGTTGTTTATACAGATACTGTGACAGCTATGAAAAGTCTATTGCCAGTGATCTGATGACGAAAGGCTGTAAAGCGGCCGCTAAGATGCTATTCACAGGCACCTTGACATTAGGCTGTAAATCTTACCTGGATTCGCAGCAACGCTCATGTTATTGTCCTCCAGGCAAACCAAATAACTTCAATGGCAATAAGTACACGAATAGCAAGGAAAAACAGCAGAGGCAGAAGTACGGCTGGAAGGACCGTAACGAAATTTAGCACCTGCATAAATATGTTATTTGGTTGTTAATAAGTTCATGTTAGTTTTTAGTTATGGTTGTACTTTTCTACCATTTTGACGAATTTTTCTAGCTTAATACCAAAGCTAGCAAGACTCAGTATTTGTTTAGAGTGCACATTTCACATATAAAAATGTATAATTTATGATTTAACCACAACTTACAAGTTGGCTGAGAGTTATGTTAAAAATAAACAAATTATTTTTGAATTTGGCTCTTTGAATCGGTATTTCATATAAGGGTCGTAGCTATCGATATTTTTGGGCTCAATACAATAATAAATTCGTTATCGATTCGTCGATTAATTGCCACAAATTTTGTCGCTTAGAGCACTACACTGAAACTCTAATTGCATTAGCCAGCACTAAAATAACACAAGCGCAGCAAAAAAAGATTTTGCAACAAACTGAACAAATTTTTTAATGTAGGTTGTCATTAAAAATTGTTTGCAATGGGCTATGATGTCAATCGCTTTCAAGGCGAAGTAGACGAAGAGCTAACATGTCCCATATGCTCCGGTGTTCTGGAAGATCCACTTCAGGTTTGACAATAACTACAACTACAACTAAAAACACATTTCATTTCGAGACTCAAATTATTCCACAGGCGGTCATGTGCGAACACGCCTTCTGTCGTGGCTGCATAAATGAATGGCTGACACGCCAACCCACATGCCCAGTTGATCGTAATGCCCTAACTACTGCAAATCTGCGAGCTGTGCCGCGCATATTGCGCAACTTGTTGTCCAGGTAACTCTTGTACGACTCTTGTTTTTCATACCCAACTAATGAGCGCTTTTACAGGCTTTCGATAACCTGTGACAATGCGCCTTATGGCTGCACAGCTGTGTTGAAGCTGGATGCATACAATTCGCATTTGGAAGACTGCGTGCACAATCCAAAGCGTCCATTTCCCTGCGAAAAAGGCTGTGGCTTTGACATACCCAAGGACGAGCTCAAGGATCATAACTGTGTGCGTGAGCTGCGTGTGTTGATTGTGAAGCAAACGGAGCAAATAGGCCAACTGAAAACGGAAATAACCGATCAGCAGCTAACTATCAATGAGTTGAAACGAGAACTACAACTATTTAAAGATTTTATGCGTGCCATGCGCGTCTCAAATCCGGCAATGCGCGCGATTGCTGATCAAATGGAACGTGATGAGGTGATAAGATGGAGCAGCGCTTTAGCCCGAGCGCGTGTTACACGCTGGGGCGGCATGATTTCCACTCCCGATGATGCACTGCAGGTAAATGAGTGAATAATCAATGACAGCTGTTAAAAATGTATATATATTAATATATAACGGGCTTACAGCTGATGATTAAGCGTGCTTTATCTGAGTCTGGTTGCCCGCCACACATTCTGGATAGCTTAATGGAGAACTGCCACGAGCGACGCTGGCCCCGTGGCCTCAGCTCCTTAGAAACGCGCCAAAACAATCGACGCATCTACGACAATTACGTATGCAGACGCATACCAGGTGAGTTTGCGTGGCAATTAAATTAATCAGTTAAACAGTGTCCCTGACTAAACAAAGGCTTTGTGATCGCAGGTAAACAGGCGGTGCTTGTGCTGAGCTGTGACAACGTGCACATGACTGAGGATGTGATGGTCGAGCCGGGTCTGGTTATGATCTTTGCGCATGGAATCGAGTAATCGAGTTTCTCATGCGGCAGCTACATTCAATTAATTAGTAACTAAATACTTAATTGTATATCAAACAGTGCTCAGTTTTGTTGTTTTCTCGAAATATTGCATATACTTAGGCATAAAAACACTCATACACACACATTTGTCATATTAATCATTTTAGCATTAATATTAACTCGAATGCACTCTCGAACTAAAGCAAACAAAATACAAACCATTCAAGCGCCTCATGACGACTTTCAAGTTGTAGTAAAGAAATTTATATAGAACTTTGTTCCCCCACAAACAAAACCACATGTCGTTTATGATGTATTTGCACATACACACATGTATACCCTCGCACATGTCTGTGTTTGTGGTAATCATATTTTTGTAATTAAGCGATCTCAGCAAACAAACTTTTGTTATTGTTCACTTCAAATTCGCTGGATGCATTCAATTTGTGTCTCTTATATAATTGTGGCTTTTATTTAAGAAACTTAAATAATTTACTTAATGTGTAATTAAATTTTAAAAAATTTAAGTATTCCATATTTTTATTAAATAAAAGAGAATCTCAAGTGTAATCAAATTTTTAATTGACTTTGTTTAGCTCAGCTGCGCAATCGCATTAAAAATGTTTATTGGGTTGCGTTATCTCAGGTTTACGTTGCCCCCACACACACGCACACACACATCCCAGCACACACAAGAGTTCTGGGCATCATCTGTTCCCGAAAAGGAAATCCAATAAGGTGCCTAACCAATAGCAACAGTAACAACGATATCAAACTGGTTCCTGTCTGAGCTTTGACAAAAAAGAAAAAAAAAAAGAACCTCAAACCGGTTACGGTTTTCGTAGACATGTTTTTTGTTTTGTGCGACTCATTATACAAACAATTGTTTAAATGATTTGTCTTCTGCGTGTTGACTCTGTTTTGCTTTGTTACATATGCCAAAAATCGATTAGCGAATGCTCAGACACAACTATTGATGAGCCAAAATTTAAATATCAATAGCGGTTTAGCACTTCCCGCCGTCAGGGGGGCGCCCCCTGGCACTTGAAAAGTGAGAGTATCAGTGGAATAAACCGCAATCGGCGCGCTCAGCTTCCAACAGTTGTCTACGCATCGCCGTTGCGGTCGGACGTGCCGTTGGAGTATTCAAAAAGTTTTCACCGCAATCATTTAATAACGCCATGAATTTGTCAATTTGTATGCTAATCTTTGCGGCCGTTTGCCTTGCTGCGACGTCGGCAACGACACAGCTGAGGCAACGCAACGAGAAGCAGGTTCTGGAGGAATTGCGTAAATATCAAAAACTAATCAATTCCTATTGAATAACAATACTAATTGATGTGCTCGATCGCACAGCTCGTAAGGGCGCTACCATCGAGGAGGTTGTGCTCGAGTCTAATCTGCACATCAGGCCCAAGGCACGACAGAATGTGAGACGTGTTCGCTCCCTGCTGGATGAGACACTAAATGAAATCTATGCGGCGCACAAACGAGTGAAGCGTCAGGGACGCTTTCGTGGTGGATTTGGCAGCAACTCGCAAGTTGACACAAGGGCCGGCGGCGCCCTGAGTGGCGTCAATGTGGGTGCTGATCGTCAGGGCGGCACTGCCGGTGCCAATGTCAACTTCCAGCCATTTGGTCCCTTGGGCCCCAATGGCTACAACCAGGAACAGACAGCCTCCAATGGTGCAGCGAGTAGCAACTTCAACGATCGCTTCAATTTCGGCTCATCGGCGGCCAATGCTCAGGCCCAGGGCTTCCAGTCGCAAAGTAATCTTGGCTCTTTCGGCGCCTCCTCCACAAGCACGGCCACTCAATCGCAAAACTTCAATCCATTCGGTAACAGCAACTCTGCCGGTGCCTCCCACAGCCAAGTCTTCAAACTTCCCAACGGCCAGACCATCAATTTCGCCTCCACCAACAATTTCGCCAATAGCGGATTCGGCAACACCGCCGGCAGCCGTGGTGGAGCGGTTTCTGTGACAGGTTAATGACATTAAT